TGATTTGCAAACTGAACAGATCGAATTATTGATTCAACGTCACGCTTCTCTCTGTCTCTTTCTTGATTTGCATTTGCTTTCTTCAAATACACGATCTTCGATAGTGTGGTGAAATTTGTCCGTAGGTCTCGTTACTGCAAAGCATCCACCATCAGAAATATCATCGGATAATTTTGTAGTTAACTTATTTATGAAAGGAACCACTGCTATGTGTGAACTATGAATGAGCAGTTAAAGCTGCAATGTAGACTGAGTCACACGTTAAGTGTCAGCCTAAACCGCATGATAAGTCGCAATCAGAATGAGCGGTTGACTTAGATTGTGATTTGTGTGAGTGTGTAGCTGGCCTCTTTTCATAAACATATTAGATGTAAGATTATCATCTTATCGTATCAAGAAGATTGATTCAAATCGAATCCAAAACAGTTGATATGAATCAGTTTCAGAATCGAACCATAATTCGAGTCGGCGATGAAGGATCGCAGCATTCGGGTGTGTCATCGCATCGCAGTGATTCGTCTCTAGTCAACGACGTCCCTCCATCAGCTCCTGCTGGTGCGTCCGTATCTGCTCAAGAGAGTATTCATCGACCAATCAATGTAAATAAGTACTCTTATGTTCTCGAGAAGTATAATGGAGCTGTTCTACTGAATTTTTGGGAGTTGGCTCATCGGAAGTCTTTATTATTTTATGATCGTCCAAAATAGCAGTTATTATTATTGTTTAAATTTCACCTCGTGACCATTTTAAAAAAAATATATCTGTAATTCTCTTTAAGTTTTCGTTTTCATGCAACAAAATCCACTGTTTGCTTTAAATAGGATCATTCATGTCGTGGTGCATCGTCAGATCATAGTTTTCGCTGTGTTTGATTTTGATTCGCTTTTGGTGATGATGAAATATTCTGTTTGGTGTTTTAGGATGAGATGGCAACGTTACGTCGTAGTAGATTCTCAACGTTGCGTACTACAAAGCTGATTTCGAAAGAGATGGAAGAACACAATCGAGAGAATAATATTTACGAGCAAATGAGTGGTTATAAACGATTGAGACAGCAGCATCGAAAAGAACTGAAACAGGTTCGTTTCTGAGTGAACATCCATTCTAGCTACTACTTTCGAATTAATTTTGATTTTGAAATTCCGTTTTTGATCTCCTTATCTGGTGAATTTAGTTTCGGATTGCCTTCATTTTAGAACAGAGCAAGAGAGGGAGAAGGCGGGTTCCATCCCAGCAAGCAGAAATTGATGAATCTTTCGAATTAGACAAAATTGAACTAGGCAGGAAATAGATCGGCTTAATGCAATGTTGGGAGGATAATATCAAAACTTCTCCCTCACTATGAGCAGTCCCTTGACTTCAGTGCTTAATTCAAAACATTAAATGGGGCATTTGTTGTTGTGTGGATAATTTGAAGCGGATTCTAGTTGGAAGAGCGATGTGCGGTAGAAATGGAGATGTTGAAGCAGAAAACAGATAAGGAATATGAACAGCTGATCAATAATTTTAGTAAAGAATTGCAAAGGGTTCGGAACAGTCAAAATGCTGAAAAGGATAAAAAGGTAATTATTCTCTTTCCTTGCTTGTTTATTATTGCTGTTATTATTATTGCCCGCGCTGTCAACGATGCTACAAATTATATTCGTCAATATTGCCATCGGTCATAATTTGTGATTGCAAAATGTATTTGTTTTAAGTCGCGTGAATTCGACGACATGGAGAAGAAGATGCGAAGACAATTAACATCACAACAAGAAAACGAATTGAAAGCATTCTCAAACGCTCAGAAGAAGGAGTACAAATACAACAAAGAAAGAGCGAAATCGGTTTGTGCATTCGATGTTGATTACTGCTTACTGCAAATGTTAGGATTATTGCAGTACAAGTCCATGTACAAATCTGTGAGACAGAGTAAACGTGCCAATGGAATTCAGGTTTTTCTATCCGAAATAATGATATCATAGGTTTGTATGGTGCAGATGAAACAGCAGTAAAAATGTTTCGCTTTTAGAGCAGTTGAAATTCAGCGGTTTTTTTGAAAGTTTTTTGAGCGCAAAATAGTTGCATCCTTTGGAGAAGTAATATTCTTGATCTGTTACTTGATGCATATCAATACTTTCATTTGTATAGAATGTTTTTTTTTGGTTCTCCTGGAGATACTCTTTCCCTAAATATCATTGCATTGAAAATAATTTGAAGTGCTTTCGAATTTTTTTTTCTTTCAGTAGCATTTGTACAGCTGTGCCGTCTACTTGTGCATGGATGAAAAAAAATAAATGAATACCAATTGTTTAGTGGGATCTCGACTTTAATGTAAATTTGATAGAAATGTTAATTGTTTAGGAATTGAAAGAGCGTTTTCCTACCCGAACCGTCTACGAAACTGCACTGAAAGAAAGGAAAGCCATATTGAATGCACGCCGATCGGACGCAGAAGCTGGTTTTGTACGTGAACAACGTTTAGCGATGGAGGGTGAGATCAGAAAGCTGAGGAGGACACGAATGACAACATTACATGAACTTGAAGAGAAATTAGCAGCTGAGGTGAGTTAGTCGTCGATCATTTCTAGTTTTTATGTTTTGCTGAAATTTTGTGAGTGATTTGGATTCGATTCAGTGAAATGTCAAATGTTTTTTATCTGGAGGATTTGAATAATCAAATGGTTTATGTGATAAATTTGCGCATGAATAATGAACAATTGAATATTTGCTGACGTTTACTTCTTGACTTTACAGGAATTACGTGTTCGTTCTGGTCAACTAGAAATGAGTCATGCGTTATTGAGAAAACATCATGAACAAACCAAGGAGTTGGAGTATGCTCAACTGAACGAGTGTCAGCGTATGAAGAGACGGCATATGGACGCACAGCACGAAGCTGAAACGTCCAATCAACTGCAATATAATCAACGTGCTCAAGATGAATTACTCAAGAAGCATGCCCTGCAGTCTAAACAACAACCCAAAGAGCTTAAGGTTAGCGTTTATCTT